ACCCCCCCCCCCCCCTAAAAATGGTAGGCTGAATTATCGTAAATAAAAGAGCATAGAGCTTCAATTTCCTCAGAGAGTGGACGGAAATTCGAAAATGAGACGAGTTGAATTCTTATTTTGATTGTGCAACAGTGATGTTCTTTTTTCACTTTCAAGGTATGAAGTTTGTCGCATACGATCTTCGAGTGGTTTTACCGCTCGAGCAGCATGGGGGAGGGGAGGGGGGGGTACGGAGAGCGCCAAACGCAATTTACAGCCTCCAGGCATACAAGCCGGCCGAGAAACGACTTTTCCAATAACAAAGTTCAAATCTGTATATGAGCCCCAAATAGTGACGGGGCAGAACATAAGCACAATAAAATGTATGATCCGAGGTGTAATCGTTTGCGAAAAATTGCAGAAAACACGAGGGCTGGAAGAGTTAGACGGGCCATAAAAAGGAACTTTTATGTCATTGAAACGTTCATTATTGTCATGCAAGACCCTCAGGGAACTTCACTCGGTGTTGCTTAGTCCATTTGATGGTCCAATTTGACAGAAGTTAAACGTGACAGCGCTTAAGGAACACGGTTCCATGTGTGTATGTTAATGTATGCACGTGACTGGTTGAACATCTCATTTAAAATCGTGAATTATCGAATAGCAACAAGAACAACAGTGAAGCGATGATACACATGAAATGAACAGATTGAAAAACTTGAAATATGTAAAGCAAATCATACTGTGCGGCGTGAAGCAAACCGAACGCTTACCTGGCTCTCTGCGGAATTTTGTGACATATTCAGCATAAGCACAACCATATTGTTCAAATTCTGCAAAAGTAGTGGGGAAATGAGGTGGACTAGATGATAACTGTCGCGCTGGATCAATAAAATGGGTGGATTTCGAGAGCCAAATCAAACAGTCATGAATGATGTACAAATGTACACAAACATTAGTTTACTTTACCGCGACCGGCTCCATGGAATGGATGAGCCGGCTCTATGAGTATATAAGCAATATGATCGTGGTTTCACGGAAGTTTGGTACGAGAGACAATCCCCAAGTCACTCGGTTTCCTTTAGGGGGTATACGTTGTGTCTGATCTGAACGTAATTTTGACAAAAGCGCCTCTTGCTTAAGCCCCAACAACAACGCGCAGTGCGAACAAGACCGGAAACAATCAATAACATCATAATCATCGTACAGTGAAATACAGTGAGGCAAACTTTACCGATCGCCGCCAAACTCGCAGTACATACACGGTTAGTAGTTATTTTTATTTTGTGTATGTATTGGGGTTCGATGGACGGGTACTGTTAGGGGGCCCAGCAACTAAGCAGGGGAACGATTAGGGTTCTCATCCAAAGTCTTTAGTTCTAGCAAGAACCTAACCGCAAGCGGGTGAAGCGAAGTGGGGGGCCATTTACTTGAATCCATTATTCCTCCACCATTTTTTACTGACTGAAACGCAAATTCCAGTCAAATCCCCAACCTGGAGGACCAGGAGACTGAACTTCATCTGACCACTGAATTTAATGTTTCTAAATGCAAAGTCTTATCCCTAAATCACAACCGAGAATTCTCGTATTTCCTCGAGGATCAGCAACTACCACACACTTCCAGTGAAAAGGACTTAGGTATCGTTGTTCAAAAGGATTTAAGGTGCTCCATCAATTGTGCTAAGGCTTCGTCTGCTGCTATGAGGAATGTCGGCTTACTTCGGCAAGTCTTTGGCCGCTTTGAATCATCACTATTCCCAC